GTTAAAATCAAGATGTTAGCTCGTTCTACGTTTGGTGGCCAAACATTGATAAGGATATTGAAAACATAGTTCGTAATTGTAAAATTTGTTTAGAGGAGCAGAAAAAACCTGCCCATACTCCACTGACTACTTGGCCTTGGCCGGAAAAAGCGTGGTATCGCTTACATTGTGATTTTCTGGGTCCATTTTTTGACAGAATGTATCTAGTAGTAATTGACGCATATTCAAAATGGTCAATAGTGATCGATTTCAATAAAAACACAAAAAGTTCACGATTAATTGACGAATTCAAAAAGTTATTCGCTGACTATGGGCTACCAAAACAATTAATTACCGACAACGGTAGACAATTCGCGAGTGCTGAGTTTCAAGAGTTTCTGAAACGTAATGGTATTAAGCACAGCTTTTTCCCACCTTACCATCCGGCAACGAACGGCGCAGCCGAAAATTTTGTCAACACGTTCAAATCTAAAGTAAAAAAAATTGTAAAAGGGTGAGAGAAGTTGGCAGACGCGATTAATCTTTTTCTTTTCGATTACCGCAGTATCAAGCATTGTACGACAGGAGAAAGTCCTGCATTTTTATTATTTAAGAGGGAGCTAAAAACCAGGTTTGATTTACTTCGATCAGACGTAAGGGATGTTGTATTGAAAAATCAGCGCTCGCAAATAGTCGCTAGGCGAGGTTCCCGTAAAGCGTCATTCGCAGATGGCGATAACGTGATGGTCGACAATCACGGCGTCCACGCATGCAAACAGAATCGAAGGTCAGATAAAAGGGAAACTATCTCCCTCTACGTACTCCGTCGAAATCGCACCAGATGTTGTATGGAAGCGCCATACCGACCAAATACTCAAAAAAGGCGACCCTCCATTGCGGCGTTCTTCGCGTATCGCACAGCGAAATAATGTATAAGCGCACTCATTTAAAAAGAGGAGGAACTGTAGTGTATTGAGAGTTGGTTAGAGCGTTACACGCTCCACGACTCGTCACTGCGCGAGGCGTCGGGCTGAGCGTGCGACGTACATGCGGTGAGCACTCTAGTCCTAGCCGGCTACCCAGTCGCACGTATTGTACAACAGCAATAACATACACACATATATATATATATATATATATCGCATAGTAAGAAGTATTCCAGTTCATTACCCTTGCCCACAACATTTCATTTTATTTTCATTTTTTCTTTATAAATGTAAATTTTAACATATTTGTAAGATCTTATTAGTATTTCTTTTATAATTTTGATTAAATTTAATTTTGTTACAGGCCATATGTGATCATCAATGTCGATTTATCCATTGTTATATTGAAATGTCGGTTCAGTACATGACCAACGAG